TCATTTAAATCACCAGTAAAATTTTACTTATATGTTGTCAGTAAAGTTTAGTCTGCTACAATAATGAAATGTCCTGAGAGTACAACGGTTTGTAAATATTTGTTTTCCTCAGATATTCAACTATCAAGTTGTCGTACTCGAAAATATCTATGTAACAAAAGCTTCACGATTGTTATCATGTATTTAAGCTATTTATTTACAAATGCCCTGATACGGCCGAGAGTGGGGAGGGTCCACCCACTCGAAATGCTCTCACATGGCCACGTGTATACAGCCTCTGCCAAGGAAGTCCTACTCACTGCCTTCTCGTGATGGGGGTATTGTTTACGAAATTGAGAGGACAGAAAGCGAATATTCGGCGCTTTAACCGGGCCGATGGACACGGAGAGTCCACCTATGGTAGTTGGAAAACCATTATTCCAAACTGATGGTGCATATGGGCTCCAGTATTTTGAGAGAACAAATAGCGTATGAATCTATTGTTGGTCACCGGCTACTATGAGACTGCATCTCCTGACGTCGCTCCACTGCCTTATGGATTAGACCTCTAGGTCAAAGGCTCGGAGAGTGGCCCCCTAAGAAAACCAACTGCTTCGGTTTGGGTACCCGGGCAGTATTCCTGCACTCACAAAAATCGAATAAAGAAGTGTGGTGCATATATATTCGGTACCTCTTTGTGTCAATGTTTATATGTTTAAATAAATAAATAATCCTACTTTATGTGTGTAAAACTGGCCACTAAGAATAATGGATATTCATAGCTTACTAGTATTCGATTATAGGTGTCTTCGAGGCATTGTTCGTGCATGTTGGGACCACAAAGTGATGCCTGGATTGGAAATAGAGTATTAGGTAGAGATAGCAAATAGATTGATGAGGTAGTAAATCTTCATTACCTGGAGTGGTTCGGACATGTGTTGCGTATACCCAACCAACGCCTACCTCGACGGGCGATGTTTCTTGGCGCAGGAGTAGGCTGGAAGAAAGCTAGGGAGGGGATCAAACCAAAACGTTACATCAGTTTATGAAGTCATTGATAGTTGGACTTAACTATGTCAATAGGTGCAGACTACCTGGTTGGGGTCCGCATGATTATCGTAACCGATGGTTATAGACTTTGAATTTTTGTTTTATTATTATTAGCTTTATTCTATATGATATTTTTGGTACAATATAGAAGATAAATATCGAGTGGTCGCCAATTAGATGTTAAAAGTTCAGTAATGGACATCTGGATAATGTACATTATTTTCGATGTATATAGCCAGCAACCGCAATGTCTCTGATTGTACTCTTTCCTAACTTGTACAGCGAAAGGTCATGAACTTGTCATAAACGCATCTGAATAGGTTGTGCAATTAATTGACATAATGATCTGTTGAAACCAACAAAAGACAGACAACTTTTTGAAATATCTAGATGGCAGGAACAGATAGCCCAGGTATTCAAACAGGCCATTGCTCAAAATCGTTAGCAATAGCACAGGTTCATCGATTCCTTGTCTTCTTCAAAATCGTGAGATTATGAATTCCTCATAATATTTGTTTTTATTTTGCTAATTCACATCTTTTCGAGTCATATCTTCGATGCCTAATCTTTCCTATTATCATTGATACTGTTACTGCCCCTACTATTCTGCGATTTGGCCCGGCAACTTCGTCTCGGTGTGCTAATGAGATATGACAACTTGAACTAATGTACATACGCGCAGCTTCTACATTATGACTGACTAAATAAATTATGCAATAAATGCGAGGGAACAATATCTATTAACATGTAGGATTAATACTCTTTTTTTTTTCTCAACTAATAATTTCTCCGGAGTTGGAGATCATCGAAGCGGTGTAATTCTTAAATATTCTATTGTTTATTACCGTATGTTTACTAACTGTTTTAAGCAGTCTAATTCATCACACTTATACTATCCACAAGTCGAAGCCTAACTTTTGCGTACAAAAACAGTATGTTCAGTCCCTCATTCTTCTATAGTTTTAATCTTCTTTTTTATCTTCCATAGTCTATGGTTTTTTAAAATATTCATTTGTACTCCTTCTTGATTATTTCCACAACTACTAATGAGCCATTATTACAAATTTTTATTATTCTGTTCTTAACAAATTTCAAGTGGACAATTATCTCCATCTTATCACTTCTTACTAGCCGTTTATTACATGACTTCCTTTCAGTAACATGTTTTTGTAAACAATTGAGGACTAGATACCTCTTCAAGTATTCCATTCTATTGTCCTAGAGACTACTTTTGTATATAAAATTAACTATAAATACGATTATGCATAAAATTTTTAATAGTTAAATTCATGTAAGTCAGACCACCATTGGAAACCTGGACGGCCGTTTCGTCCTAGTATGGGACTCCTCTATGGTGTGCATCCATGACCCTGCACCCATATCTTCATTTATCCTCTAATTGGTTACAAACTCAATAAATCATTAATTTTACTCACGTATCGATTAACACTCATAAAACGCTTTTTTACTCACTTACTTTACGGTGTGTTTGCCTGTCGCGCGCTCATGGATTTTATTAATTATTAACAATACACCATCCCAACGATTCGTATTCTGGCTTTTAAATACTATCGAGTAATCTCATAGTAATACCAAGAGAATTGGTCTACTAAAGTACTTAGTGAACGGGACATATTTTTTCTGTTTTAGGGGCTTACAGCTTATCAATCCGCCGAGAGATTTGACTGAAACTGAAGTGTCAGAGTGATTATTTGTATAACTAGGATAACTTTGTGACATTTACGATAAATGCTTATCATTTAGTTGTTTATACTGAAATTTTTATGCGGATGGAATAATTTCGTGTTTGTTATTCCTAGTCACACTACACAAGATGATATGTTCATTCTGTACCGAACCTTTTGTTAACACAACGTGTTTATATTATAATATAATATAATCCTTTGTGTTTTTGTTTATTCTAACACATAGATATTGGTACAAGGAGGCACCAAATACATATGCGCCACACATATCTCATTGGATATGTGTGAGGGCTGTGATACTGCCCGGATGCCCCGACCGAAGCAGGTGGTTTTCTTAGGGGACCACAACCAGAGCCTTCGACCTGAAGATCTGATCCACAAGGCAGTGGAGCATCGTAAGGAGATGCAATCCCATGGTAGCCGGTGACCAACGATTGGTTCATACGACATTTGTTACTTCAGGATACTGGAGCCGGCCCATGTGCACCATTGATTTGGGATCCGGTTAAAGCTCCGGACATTCGCTTTTCGTCCTCTCACTTTCGTAAACAACACCTGTGGTGCGAGAAAGTAGTGAGTAGGACTTCTCTGGCAGAGGCTATATACGCGTTGCCATGTGAGAGCATTTGGAGAGGGAGAGCGGACTTTCCCCACTCTCAGCCATACCAGGGCATTTGGGGGCTCCACAGTTATATAATATACCCTTGTGGGCCAGGGTAATTTTACATCGGTTTTCAGTAGAACCAGACACCGTCCAGACTTTCACGTGACAACCCAAACAGTACAGCCCAAGCCCGTTTAACAGGAGAGCCAGACACTGTATAGTCTTTAACGCTACAATCTGAATAGTACAGTTTAATCCTGTGGCGCAACCACACAGGTACCAAGCACCCTGGTGGACCTTTGTGTTTCCAGTATATTTGTCAAGATCAAGGTTTAGTTTGGTTTGAGTAGGAGAAGCTTGTTGTATATCCATGAGCAATCCACTACACTACTTAAATGCCATAGTTATTCGGTTTATTTGACCCTCCGCTATCCGTAAAAATGTGGTGAGCAAACAATATTAACGATTTCTTCCTACCCTATTAGCTACTATTATTCTACACATTAGCTTTATTCATTTAAATCACCAGTAAAATTTTACTTATATGTTGTCAGTAAAGTTTAGTCTGCTACAATAATGAAATGTCCTGAGAGTACAACGGTTTGTAAATATTTGTTTTCCTCAGATATTCAACTATCAAGTTGTCGTACTCGAAAATATCTATGTAACAAAAGCTTCACGATTGTTATCATGTATTTAAGCTATTTATTTACAAATGCCCTGATACGGCCGAGAGTGGGGAGGGTCCACCCACTCGAAATGCTCTCACATGGCCACGTGTATACAGCCTCTGCCAAGGAAGTCCTACTCACTGCCTTCTCGTGATGGGGGTATTGTTTACGAAATTGAGAGGACGGAAAGCGAATATTCGGCGCTTTAACCGGGCCGATGGACACGGAGAGTCCACCTATGGTAGTTGGAAAACCATGATTCCAAACTGATGGTGCATATGGGCTCCAGTATTTTGAGAGAACAAATAGCGTATGAATCTATTGTTGGTCACCGGTTTCCATGGGACTGCATCTCCTCACGATGCTCCACTGCCTTGTGGGTCAGACCTTTAGGTCAAAGGCTTGGGAAGTGGCCCCCTAAGAAGACCACCTGCTTCAGTTTGGGCACCCAGGAAGTATCATAGCCCTCACACAATTAAGATGAAATGACAATAACTATTGAATATACTACCCGCACTCCTATTAAAATTCAAATAACCCATACCCATTTGAAAACATTCACTTTTTTTTTATTTTTTTGTACTACGTCGCTTATCCACTCTCTTCCATTCTCACCTTGCGTATCCTTACCTTTCAACTTGTATGGCGCAAATATATCTCGGTGCCCCCTTGTACCAATATTTATGGGTTCAAATAAATAAATAAGGGAACACTATAGTAACAACCTACAAATAATATAACTAAAACTTCTCGGTCTTCATATTGTACATATTAACTTTGAACTAATTCATAAAAAACAAGTTTCCGATTATCAACACTCAAATTACACATCATTATAAAATACAAACAATAGATTTATTTCCAATGAATTAATTTTATAATACTCTGGTGTATGTATGTTTAAAAGTGAGGAGGTATGTATTTCACATTTATACTTTTAAAGTAATTAAATTCTTTTCTAATATTTCTTCTTATTTATATTTACTTTAGACTTCATTCGTTTCATCTTTATAATATCTACACAGAATGAATAAATCCAATAAAAATGAATATGGAGAGTTTACAAAACGTATAGGTTTTACATCAATGATGGAACTTATCTGTATTTGTTTATTTCCATTAATATTACAATGTTTACGATCAATTGTATGTATACATTTTAATATATTATCGAAAAATCGATTTTATTTATCTTTGATTATTGATTATTTGATTATTCTATTACCAATTATTTTATTATTAACTTTATTATCTTCTCATATTATTATAATTGTAATAAGTTGTTTTATATTATTTCTATTATGGTTATTATTACCAAACTATAATCAAATGAATTTGTCTTTTGGGAATTATCATTTTTTACCAACGGATATTTTAATTGCTTATTTCCGAACCACCATATATATAATTTCTTGTATTATGATATATGCTATTGATTTACCAATTTGTCCAAGACGTTTTGCTAAATCTGAATTAAATGGTCTTGGTTTAATGGATGTTGGTACAGGTTTATTTATATGTGCATCGAGTATTTCCGGTTCTAAATTGGTTTTTTATATGAATATTTACAGAGATAATAGTAAAAGATTTTTTGATTGTATATTGAATTGTGTAGTACCATGTTTACTTTTAGGATTATTAAGAACATTATTCATTCAATTGTCAAATTATCATCAGAATATTGTAGAATATGGTGTTCATTGGAACTTTTTTTATACTGTTGCATTGATACGTGCCATATCACTTATTATAACCACTGGAAATCCTATCAGTAATTATTTAATAACATTTTCATTGAAAAAACAAATTCTTTTCTATTACATTGTATCCGGTATATTCTTAATATTTTCTGAATTTTTACCAATAATAATTTGTCCAGAATATTTTCAAACAAGATGGCAGTTTAATCCAAGAACACTACACTATATAAATGATAATCGATCAAAATCTTTATGGATTGCTAATTTTGAAGGTGTCACCTCCTTATTTGGTTATGCATCGATTTACTTCTTCAATTTGAGTTCATCACTTCTATTACAGTCCTATTTGTCAACAGACACCAATAATGACAGTAATAATGGAGAAAGCTCACTAAGCAAGAAGGAATTTTCGCGTAATATTTCATTATTCAGGATATATTTAATCTGTGCTTTTATGATCCTATGCTCAGTAAGTTGTTTTTATTCACTAGGTGGTAGTCAAATGACATCCAGACGTTTTGGAAACTCTAACTATGTACTACTTATTATATTTATCTCAGTCATAGGCATTCTTTTCCTTACTTCAATGATTTCACTATTGATGCACTTTAAATCACTTTTCAACTTAAATTTAAGCTATTCTCCATTATCCTTGATAATCAATGATAAAGGCATGTTATATTTCATCATTTCAAATTTATTAACTGGTTTCTTCAATGTGTTTTGTTTAAATACTTTGCAGTTGTTGCCTGAAGGGGCAAAGTTAAATATTATCATGGGTACGTATAATGATTTGAGCTGGTCTTCATCATTATTACAATTTTCAGTGCTCTTAGCCTATTCGAGTTTATCAGTTATTTTTGTTTTAATCGGTTCTTATTATGATTTTCTTAAATTTCTTACTCCTAGTGTATTTGGTATTTTTAAATAAATGATTGGTGTAAATCAACGGTTCTTCTAAGTACATTCGTTAAGTAATCGGCGGCTGTACCTAAAAACTTCTGCACATAAGTTTGCATTCGATTTTAGGCAATTTATAGACATTTTAAGTTAACGTAATTTATTTTCGACTTACATTCATACCTAGACCTGTTCAGTTATTGCATCTATAAGTTGTTGATGGTTTTCCTGATACCTTTTTTCATAAACCAATCATATTATGAATGAAGACAGAAGTGCCTATCAATGAAATTGGTCTGGATTAAACGAAATTTTCTTGAGGCTTAATAGACATTTGTTATATTATTTCGTTTTCTCGACCGAATTGTAAGATGATTTTAAGCCCTAAGAAGTTATAGACTCAGGAATGATAATCAACTGTTTACTAACCATGAATATGCTTATTTAAGTGAATCAAATGGTATTTATAGACTAATCAAAACTGTGTAGCAGTTTTAATTATTCTCCAGAAGGTGTAACCAGCACAATTTACTTTACCGGGTGTCTATCGTCATACAAATTAACGCAGTCTTAGTATTTTATTCATGTTCAGATCTTTAGAGTAAACATTAATTTCTTCTAGATATATTTGGTAATAGTTGTTAAATGTGCATATAACTTGAGTCAAATAAATATTGCAATAGATTGTCTACAACTGATGCCCATTTAATAGTTGGTATATTGTACGATAAAGCCGATGGTAATGCAAACCAGATATAGGCGTATTTATCAAAATAAAGTTATGGTTTCCATGACTAACTGAAATCAGTTATAATGCAAGAATCTTAAATTGTATCCCAAGTCGTAATATATTGGGCCACCCTTCTTGTCTCTTTGATGTGAACCGGGAAACAAGAAGCCCTGACAAACTACGAAGGCTATTTTTCGGGACGTTATTTCATTTTATTCAAAGCTTGTAAAACTGACATTTATTTTTGTCCCTAATCTATTCTACAGAACATAAGCTTTCGTTTGATGTATCATTCACTACCATACCTTTTTCTGTTCCGAAGCTATTGTAATTTAACATAATATTTTGCACCCTATTTTCTACTCTAATTCCCAGCTTTGGACATGATTGTATTTTTCCTAATTATTGTACGTTGCGGTCGGGTTATTCACTTATTTATTCATGTACCTTTTCACACTAATCTGAATTACACTGAAGTCAGGAATAGATCGAGTAGTGTTCCAAGTGTCTTGTCTTCTCTCATTCGTGTGCTTGCCCACCAATCAGGTAACAGAATAGTTTTCTTCTCTCTACTCCAACTCGAACTCACGCGTACTAGTCTCAAGGTTAAACCGATCAGCCTATCGCATCAAGGTCGAAATCTAGATTAGATAAGTATCCTCGGCACCAAAAGTGGGTAGACAAACCAAGGTCTTAACACTCTTGATTGACTCAAGCGATTAAGATTCCAGCATGGTTCGGTGATGTTCATCTTTACCACTTTGTACAATATGAAGATGCTAATTGCACCAAGTTATTCCATTTTACTGATGGCAAAACGAAGATAATGTTAGAAGCTAACAATTAGGTAGTGCATTCAGTCATAAACATGAGACAAGTTTGCAGTAAACTAAACTCTAATAATATCGCCACATTGGAGGGGGACTGTCTTCTAGCACATATGATTTTATCAGTGATATCAAATACTGTGTAGATAACACATCAATAAAAAGGCGAATGTAGTGTAATAATGAGATTTGATGTGGTGAGAGATTTTAGAATCTCTGAGTTGTCTAACACAACCGAGTAGATTGGGATGTGTTACGTATAACTTTCCCATATGCTAACTTGAATGGACTAATGTAGATTTTGCTGCCTGTCGGTTTACTCACGAGAATTTTTAAGAATAGGTTTTTGTCAAGTCGGATGATTTCACTTACTCTTAAAGTGATTTCCATCACGAAATGATATTGGTCCGGGGGCTAGACAATTAGATGGGAATTGTACCGTACCACTGGTTTGCCAAAGTTTAAAATGTGAACCATTAGATCCTGACTCCGACCTGAAGGTATTTTAAAACTTCATTTTGATATCATGTAAAGATTGTGAGTGTTTACTGCTAAGTAGTCAGAAACTATGATGTAATGGTCTTCCGGTGGCCCCTAAGCTTCTATTAGTATTACAACTGATCTCATTTCGTTCAAAATCATCTACAGAAGTGCGTTGATTTGATGCTGATAAAACGTTGCCGTCATATTTGTACTGCTCTTTCCAAAACTGACTTTTCATAGCGAACAAAATCAATCGAAGAGCCTTTCTTCCAAGTTTAGTTTCATAAAAAGATTAGAATATCAGGTAGTTTTTATCATTAGTGAAGCGAATAAATGAATCCCTTACATTTCAGAGTTATGGACAGTTAAGCTTTGTAGTTGTTTAATTTGTTCATAACAACTAAGTTACACGCTCGTAAACGAAATATGGGATTTGCTAAATATTATAATAAGTTTAGTGAAATAAAATAAAGGTTTAAAATTCAAAAACCCCGAATTTTCCAGTGTTCCAGTTGCTAGTTTCGTTACTCAAACAGAGATAAATATTGTTCTGTACAGTATAAGAGCCTTAGAATTAGTTAAATATGGCTTACACTACTGGTTCAATGAGTACAGCGACAAAAAATAAGCAAATGTAAATTGAAGTCTGTAAATAACAAATTTACTCAATACGATATGTTAGGTGAGATAGTTTATTGTTGGAATATTTAAAGTAATCATTCCAAGCGAGCGTTGAATTGCTTTACAATTTGTAAGATATGTGAGACATTCTGTATGAAGCATTAATTTGGAAAGAAATTTAAGCTGATTTGAAGCAGTAAATTTAACTAAAAGTGCGAATGGTTCAAGATTATGTTGGTAGATTACTGAGTAAGATGTGGCGATTGCGACAGTGTTTGGAAGTAACTCAAGTCAATAGATGGATAAACAATCAATATTAAGGATGACCATTTTAATTTTAATGGACACTACGCTTCGTCAAGCGTCCTTACTAAGTCACGCCATGACGCTACATGGGATGCTTATCCTCATCAATTTAGCCAATTTGGAAGTCACACGTTTCTCTGTTAAAACTGGCGATTAGATGCCTTTTTCTTCTCAATCATCACTGATTTCTTTTTTCGTCGATGGTTATAAATAGTGAGTCAAGTTTTATCAAAATTTTCCACAGCGAATATAATGGAAAGGGCTTCTTTTTCTATCTGACCGTAGTTCCTTTCTGTCATAATCAGCGATAATACAGCTTGGGTGACTGCCTCTCAGATCCGTCAGGGTAAGTATAGGAAATCACTGCTCCGATTTCGAAATTTGACGCATCTGTTGCGACCAAAATTAGCAGATCTGGATTATAGTGTGAAAGCAGAAGGTTTGGTGATAGGAGCTGTTTTAGGAATGCTTCTTGACATTCTGTTGAACAGACCCATTTGGTATCCTTTTTCGGCAACCAATTCAGAGTGGCGCGGAGGCTATGCAAATCTCGAAGAAAGACATCATAATAACCAACCATTCTTAAGAAGGATCGTAAAGTTTATACATCTGTCGGTTGAGGAATGTTCATGATCACCTCAACTTTTTTTGGCTCAAGCTTTTTTTTGTCGGTTATAAATCTCAAATAGCGGACTTGCTCCACGTAGAAATCACATTTTTCAGCACGTAGTCTGATTCCACAATTTGCTGTGCTTCTAAGAACCGTATCCACCATCTTTTCCAAGTCAGCATAGTCCACACCTGTGATTAGTACATCATCGAGATAAGCTGCAGTAACAGGAATATCTTGTAGTATAGTGTCCATAACTTCTTGGAAGATTGAAGGAACGATCCTTACTCCGAAAGGGAGTCTGTTACACTGGCATAAACCTTTATGCGTGTTTATTGCCAATTAATGCTTTCACTCTTCGGCTACTGGAATCAGTAGATAAGCTTCTGATGGATCCACTTTTGTAAAATACTTCCTCCCGTTCAGTTTCGCAAATAAGTCTTCTGGTAACAGCAAACAGTACTGATGAGATTCAAGCGCTTCGTTTAATCCAATCAAATAATCTGCATATAGCCGGATACTTCCACTAGACTACTTAACAATCATTATTGGTGCTGTCCAATCAGAAACATTCACTGGTTCTATTATTCAACTTCTTTGCAGACTTCCTAATTCTTGTCCAACAATAGTCAGCGCTGCACAGAGTAACGGAAGTTTTGGTCTAAATACAGGGGCGAATCCTGGTTTAAGAATTAGTAGTGCTATAACCTTTTTGCGCTCACCAGTTCTTCCATAAACACTTGACCATGTCTTTCCAACACAACACCCCTGAGATTGTTTTCAGCTGATTTATTGGTTCTCAAGGAGCCGCATATGTGATTAATGGAGTGATTTGCTAATCGTAGTGTTTCTGTTAGATCTAGATCTAGCAAACCTAGTCCTAGATTCTCGGTGAGATAGAGTGTTGCATTTATTTTCGCATCTCAATTTGAAACTGTACAGAATACCTCTCCAACATTATTAGATTTCCCTCAGATGCACTCTTAGCTAACTGGGTTGTTGGCAGAACCCGGGGTTTCCCAATATGTTTCCGGATATTTCGGCTGATAAATGTGATGTCAAAAGCAGTGTCGAGATGCAGGCGGGCACGGTGACCGTCAACTTCGATAGTTACGTATTTTCGTCGACTATGGCTTGATCATGTGTGTGCCACCATTAATTTTTGGTTGATACATTAGGTTTATCTCTCCTGGAATGAAATCGCGGTGAACGACGATACATCTTTTACAGCAAAATTTCCTATGTCCTTTATACTGACATTTAGTACAACGGTAGTTTTATATGAGCGAAACTTCTTGCAGTGCCACTCACCGCATAAGCAGCAGGAGAATGGAGGCTGTTTGTTTGAACTGTCCTACTTACATTCGAAAGAATCTTTCTGGCCATTTATTACCTCTACCTACGGTGGTCGGTCATTATTTTCAACTATGGAAGTGTCGTGTTCTACGTTCACCAACCTCTGACATTCACTAGTCATTTCTTTAGATTTATATTTTGATGATGTCCAATTTTACTCAGAATTCTGGTTCTGATGTCGGTATCTTCAGGTAACTGCAGGCTGAATATAGAAACAAGACACTTAAATTGGTCTTCTGTAATTGCTGATAATTTGAAACGCTCACACACGCCATCATGTTTTACCCAGTCATCGTCTCTAGCTTTTGCTAACTTAAGAAATTGGTAACGAATATTGAACAAAGATGACTGTTCACCAAAGCTTACAGCTGTCGCATCAAAGATCTCATGGATTCTTGGGGATAATGAAGTTCGAGTAGCTTTCATGTTCAGCCGTGCCAAGTTTGCGTAGCAGTACTCTGACCTATGTGGCATCATCAAATATTTCCACGTCGACCTTGAATATATCTTCGTATTTCTTGAACCACGATTCAAAGTAACATCAGCTAAACCACTGGAATGAAATTCATGGATAGAATTAAAGATGTGGTCGACATGGGATTTAAACGGATCATCTGTAAGCCCCTTTTTATTTAGGTTCATTTGCTAGAACTATCTATAACGTTTTTCTTCAAGTTGGTCAAAGGCAAATGACACTTCGATAAGTTAACCCATTCGCTGTTTGTTATATCTAGAGTTTAGAATCCTAATATATCCCGTATAACTTGAGCTCTCGAACACTAGAACCTTCCAAGTCAAGAATGAAAAGACAGAAAATAAACGAAAGAAACTCCACTACATAACAGTGTTGTAGTAGTAAATAAATCTCGAAAATAAATAGCTCTGTAAGTTTTCGATATTGGATGCTGATCACATTAGTTTTAATGGACTCATCTAGCTGAAGGTGCTCGGTCATGTATCCGCACCAGATCACGTGTAGGAACGCCGTGCTCAACATCTACTGCAATCGCTAGCTAGATTAGTTCAGACGATCCTCGACATATTGTTAGCTTATCAAAAATATCTTCGAACCTCCTCGCTTCTGTCTTTTGATTACACTTGATTGGTACGCTTCATATTAGGTGTTACTGGTTAAAGCGTTGTCAAACTCCGAATACCTGTGGCATCTTCAGTGTCAAATATGGTACAAAACTATCAGGTAGTCATAGCCTTTTAGTAAATACGAAATCATCATCACAGTCATCCGATCCGAATACAAGAGTTTTTAACATTTGTCCA